TTGCTCATCTAATTCCACGACACCGCCAAACCTTCTCTTTCTGGCATTGGCACCGTCGCGTCAGAGGTTGTATATCCCACTTTGCTCATACCTGGCCTGCCTACATACCACACTGGTCGGGTTTCTACGTCGACAGGGTCGTCGTGACGCTCGCCCTTTGCGCAGCCTGTCTCTTCCTCTCGACCATTTGGCAGTTATGCTTGCTGTAGTGTATTGCGACTGTTGAATCGTTCGCTGCCTCTCCAGTCGCACGCTTTTGCTCTTCACCGCTTCGCCCATTGCGGCCTCACCGACATTTCTACCACGTTGGGCTGCCATCGAGAACAGGCCACGCCTACAATCAACAACCATCATCTCGCCAACTCCCCTCTGAGGAGGTCGCGAGAGTTCCTTCTCTCCATCAGCTCCCCGAGATGGTGCCCGCACCGCCGCCGCTGCCCACGCAGTTTCCCTGCTGGTGCCGCGCAGTCTACTCCTGGGGAGGCGAGGTCAGTTCGAGACCTGTGCACGGCGCCCTGCTGTCTTGTAGCTCTTGATTGCTAATACGTCAGCCCAGTCGAAACGCGACCTCGGCTTCATCGAAGGCGATTTGATCGAATGCCTCAACGCCGGAGACGGCTCTTGGTGGACGGGCAAGCTATGGCGCGACAGGAGGACCGTCGGCGTCTTCCCCTCCAACTTTGTCGAACTACTACCGCCCAACTTCCGCCCGACGACGAGATCCGTCAGCCCGTTGCCCGACAACACGCCCGGTCCCAAGCCTGTGCCCCAGAAATCCAAGACGTTCCGCAAGCCCTTTGAGGCATACGCCAAAGCGCCTCACTACACGACGGCGAAGCAGCCAGAGGTCGTCCGAGAGAGCCCGCACACGCGCGCCCGTGACAACTCGGCCAGCTCGTACCAGCCTCCCGCCCACCTTGGCCGATCCCCATCGCCAGCGCCGCCGCTGCAGCATCACAGGAGCTACGACGCCAGAGCGCCGTCGCCTGCCCCTCATCAGCAGTACGGCAGCTACAATTCACGCGCGCCTTCACCAGCGCCACCGCCCCAACAGCAGCATCGCTACGACTACAGAGCTGCCTCACCCGCACCTCCCCAGCAGAGGAGCTATGACTTCAGAGCCGCCTCGCCGGCGCCCCCTCAACCGAGGAGCTATGACTTCCGCGCTGCTTCACCAGCTCCACCTCCGCAGAGGAATCATGACTTCCGAGCTGCTTCCCCCGCTCCTCCTCAACAACAACATCATAGGAACGACTTCCGGGCAGCATCACCAGCCCCACCGCATCACGTTGACTACGGATCGCGAGCGCCATCGCCTGCCCCGCCGCAAGCTTATCAGCAGCACCCAAGAGCCCTCTCGCCAGCACCTCCGCCACAGGACTATCACAGGGCTGCATCTCCTGCACCACCGCCTCCGTCACACCATCACCACGGCAGCTATGGATCTCGCGCGCCATCTCCTGCGCCTTCGTTCGGATACAACCACCACTCGCGGGCTCCGTCCCCGGCCCCGCCTCTGGCACGCAGTGTGTCACCGGTTCCTTCTTTCATCGACACGTATCACAAGGAGACGTATGATGAGCCAGCACGCGAAGATTCACCGCCGCCGCCGCCTCCACCGCCCCATCGTCACGTCAATGCCTCCCGCAACAGCATTCACCCCAGCCAAGAACCACGGTACGCCGGCGGTGGGAGGCATGGCTCGAACCTCTCCTATGAGCACCGCCAAGACGGGCTCCAGACCCCTCGAATGCCTTCCCCCTGCCCTCCGTCACCTGGTGGCAGCCACATGACGCCATCACCTCTCCGGGAAGCCATGGACGGTGTCATTGAGCAGCTTGATGCCTTGGGTATGCCCAGGGACACAAGGACCCCCGAACCCGCACCGCTTGATCCCTGGTCTCCGGAGTGCTTTGACATGGTCAGCCACCGTGCAAGAAACAAGGCGGCTCAGCGGCCCCAGACGTCCATGGGACTGGGTCATCAAGATGAGGGCTACGAGACCTGGAGCGGAGGATCCTCGCAGGAGGCATCTTACCAGAACGGCCAGCGAGAGGATGCACACGACGCGCCCCAGCTCAGCAACTATGTCGAACGTATGGAAACTCGACTACAAGGCTTGCAGCACAGCAACAGCACAACCAGTCACGATGAGCCCCCACCCCCGCCACCAAAGGGCAACCTATATCAGCGACCAAAGTCATCCATGGGCGAGGCTCCTGCCCCGGAGAAGAAAGTGCGGACTCGAAAGTCAGCTTACGATGTTGGTCGAAATGTCCTAGGCCGCTCCTTTACAACCAAGACTAACTCCACGAGCGCATCTTCCGGTAACCAGAGCGCGACGACGCAAAGCACGAATAGGAGCCTGATGAGCGGCGTATCGGCCGGTGCTATCAGCGCGACCAGTGCCGGCAGCCTAGCCAGGAAGAATGAGCGACGAGAACGCGCCCAGAGCGCCCTCGGCGTTCGAGACCTTGATATAGACCGACCCGACAGCCCTTTTACTGGTGTGACATACCACAGCAGTCACGCATCCGACGCCTCCCGACCAAAATCGCAAGCAGGTTTCAACGACGAGATGGGCTCTGGCCTTGGTGGGCTTGTGCAGCCTAGAGCGCCGAAACGCAGCCTGTTCAAGAAGCTCTTCGACACAGCAAAGACTGGCGTGGCCACCAGCCGGAGCAACCTGGGGTCCGGCGGCGATCTGGCCAGGCCATCACCCTTTTCCCGCTCGACGACCGTAGCCTCCCCTGCAACCTCTGGAATGTCCTCCATGACAGGCCTTGGCAGCTCGTCCGTCGGCAGGAATGCTGCCAAGGAGATGGGCTTGGGGTCTGGGGTAGACTGGGTCCAGGTCCGCCGAGACATCAATCGCTCCAACTCGCTGAGCAAGATTGAGCGCCACGAGCGCCAAGATCGGTGCCAAATGCTTGACCACCCCGCTCTCAACCCCGTAGACGAACTCTACCAGGGTGCCGAGGGTGACGAAGGCGCGAATGGCATGCCTGTTGACGATCCAATCGACTACCAGTCTATCAACCTCAGCCAGGTCGACAAGAGCACTCGCTTCATCAGCAGTCTACCTCCGCTTACAACAGCCGTCACCTTGGCGACATCCTATGTCTGCCGTCCGTATCGCAGCGACGTCCAGCGCATGCGCGCCATCTTCTCCTGGGTCTCGGAGAGGATAGCTTGGGAAGAAGACTTTGAGGGCGAAATCGACACCAGGCGCGTCATTCAAAGCAGGCGAGCCTGCGTCGAAGAGTACGCTGTCTTGGTGATGGAGATGTGTGCCGCCGTGGGCATCGAGTGCGAGGTAGTCCGCGGGTACCTCAAGACACCGGGCGAAACGCCCGATTTTGGCATCATGCCCCGGTCCAACCACTGGTGGAACGCAGTCCTGGTCGACAACGAGTGGCGTATGGTTGATTGTTGTCTCGCCAGCCCCTCCAACCCTCGCCGGCACCTCTACTCTGGTGCCGGCAATTCAGCTGCCGACTCGTGGTGGTTCCTCACTCGCCCGACCCAGCTGTGCTGGACGCACATTCCTGAGCACCATGAGCAGCAACACATTTGCCCACCGCAGGCGCACGAGGTGTTGCTCAACCTGCCCTGTGCGTGTTCGCCGTACTTCAAGAACATGATGCAGATGGTGGACTATAACACGTCTCTTACACGCATTGAAGACCTCGAGATGGTGCACATCAAGTTCAACGTACCAGCCGATGTCGAAGTGGCTGCCGAAGTTGAGGTGCGTGCATACAGCCGGGACCAAGACGGCGATGTGTTTGAGAGCGGCGAAATGGTCAAGAAGAGGGCCCTTGCGCAGGCCGAGTGGTCCAACGGATACAAACGATACACTGTCAAGGCGTTGCTACCTGGTGACGAGGGTCAAGGCGTCCTCAAGGTCTACGCAGGCAAGCGTGGGCTGATGCACAGCATCAAGGACATTCCCCATCCCATGGCCTTTGCTCTGCCCATCACACACACGGGCGAGAACCCGCCCTATGATTTCGTCACGAGGCATCCGACGCCGCACGCCCAACGACACGACATTTACGTCGTCCAGCCACAGTGCCAGCGGCTGGCGCTCAACAACACCTTTGTGTTCGCCATCAGACAGCACCCGAGCTCGGCTATCGTGGACTCGATCATGACGCCGGCGTCGAACCCGGGCGCGGCGAGCCCCATACCGTTCGCTCGGCCAAGTTCTGCTATGAGCATGACCGCTTCTAGCGCCAGTGGGTCCAACCCCAGTACCGTCAGCGGCAACAAGCCGGCCAAGCTCGCGATCCAAACGCCGGCGGGCAAGATTCTGCGCTTGATGCGCAAGGACGACCGCAAGGGTATCGGTGTCGGTGGCCGCAACACGAGGGACGAGGAGGGCAGCGACGGGGGCACGTGGGAGACTATCATCAAGTGCTCGGAGAAGGGAGTTTGGAGGGGTCTGGTGCTGGCTGACCGCACTGCGCGCTGGTGTGTTTTTGCCGAATGGGTCTGCCTCGGATGATTCTGTTTTTTGGCTTGCGTTGCGTTGTCGATTATCTGCATCATGAAAGCTGGAGGGACGGCCAGGTCTCGGTGTCTGGGTCAACGGGACCTTCTGGGGTTATCTGGGAACTGTCATGAGGAAGGCTGGGGATATGTTCTGCATGGTCGGGAGTTGGCGTCTGATTTGCGTTGCCATGTTCTGACTTGCGTACCATAATGACTGGACTGCCTGTACCATACTGGCGAACAGCTGAGTATATGGCTGTCGCGATACATACAAAAGTTCAAACAACTGCGCCTCTGTGCTCGGCGATTCCGCGGTGTCCAGCTGTGGAGGACGGAGAACAAGAGAGAGTTTATTTCTGCTTCTTTGCTCTAAAGCCCATCATCTCTGTGTCGCCCATGATCAAGCGACCATGGCGATCCAATGGGCCCTTTTGGACAGTGTCGTCGAGAGCCTCTTACGGTGCACCCCCGATAAGCGCGTGTAGGCCGCCGGATAACAAGAGTAAACAGAGGGGCAGCCCTTCACGTCAACGCTGCACCTACCCAATCCTCCATCAAAAGCATGAGCATCACCACCCCGGAAACATAACTTACAACGACCATCGTTTGCTCTATCGATTCGTTCCATTGTCCAGCAAGGCGGGCCTCCGATGGCCGATCGCCTGCACCGCCTGCCGCCCCAGGGCGCGGCCCATTCCCAGGTTGCAGCGCCGCCTGCCGCGCCGCGCCGCGGCGTCTCGCGCAACCTGTTCAAGAGCCACCTCACGCGGCGCCCGACGCCGACGGGCACGGCGACGTCTTCGTCGAACGGGTCGGCGGAGACGCTGCGGTTGCCGGACGTGGACATCCACAGCGACTCGACGGAACTCGTCGTCAGGGACAAGCACGGTGAGATTGAGATTGGGGATCTGCCGATGGGCGTGTTGGATGACGGGGAGGAGGGGATGCATGACATGGAGGAGAGCAAGGGTCGGTCGCATTCACCCTCCCGCCAGAACAGTCTCGTGTGGAGAGACGCTGGAAGCGGCGCTGACGATCACAGTGGAAAGGCAGCGCCTTGCCGAGGCAGTCAAGCAGCATCAGGTCAATCACTCGACAATCCCCGAGCAGCCAGAAGGTACGTTGTATCATTCCCTTCCCACCCTCAGTCTATCGTCTGGGTATTCGTGTGCCTCGTCAAGCTAAAACATCTCTCCCGCCCGCAGAGCTCCTCGAGGCGGTCCGCAAGAGCCTCCGGGCCAAGGTCGCGGCTCTCGACGAGGACCAGTGGATGTACGAGGATGGGGATGCATGCTTGCGACGTTAGCAGCCGCCCAAGCTCCCCTGGCCTCCCCTGCCGGGTCTTCAGTCCGACCTCGCGCCGGGCGGGGACGACGAGCAGCAGTAGCCTCGTCCTCTCCGTCTGGCTGGCTGGCTGGCTGGCTCCCTCCTTGCTCTTCTGCGGCGTGATGCGCCATGCCATGCCCGTCCCTTCATGCGCTTTTCATTTTCACCCCTAGACCTCCTTACCTATAAAGCAAACACCCCAGTAAAGCGTTACCTCAGCATCTCAACAACCAAATCCCCATTAGTCGAGACCCGCCGGCGCAGGCGCCTCGACTCGCCTCGTGGGCGCCCTCCTCTGCTGCGCACCGCCACCACCACCTCCCGCGGCGCCGCCGCCGAACAGGCTGCCCATCATATCCATGAGGGGGTTGCTCTGCCTGGGCTTGACGATGCCAAAGTACATCTCGGCGACCATCTCGAGGGCCTCGTTCCAGGCGCCGAGCTCAGCAATGTTGGCGGCGTACTTGTTGACGAGGGTGCGGTAGGCGTCGGGGGTGCCGCGCTGGATGGCGAGGAGCAGCAGGCCGAGGAAGTTGAGGAGCGGCAGGCCCGGGAAGATGCGCACGTCGGCGGTGGCGGTGCTGACGTCCTGGACGCCGCCGGCGCCGGCGTCGGCGAGCTGGCTGGCGAAGAGGCGGTAGGCGGCGTTGGCGGCGCGCAGGTTGCCGACGAGCAGGTAGGGCAGCACGGCGCGCGACGCGTACAGCGCCGCCGTGTGCGACTCGTCCTCCTTGTACCAGGCGTACTCCATGCGCGCCAGCACCTCGGCCGAGTCGCGCGTGCCGAGCACCAGGTGGCGCTCCGCCTCGTAGGCCTCGTGCTCCTCGGCGTACAGGCTGCCCGCGACGTGGTGCAGCTCGGCGTCGCCGGCCGGGTAGTCGCCGAACTTGCTGGACCACCTGCGTCCCATGCATGTCAGCGCTCTGTCCTGGGAGGCGTGTGGCAGCGAGAAAAACAAGGTACAATAGACCGCGGGAATAGAAATGAATAAAGCATGCATTGGGAAAACTCACGCAATCATCTCGCTGATAAATGTCTTCCTCGTCGGCTCCCCGGGCCCGAACAGGCGCAGGCACGTCAGCAGGCGGCCCTTGCTCGCGGCGTCGGGCCTGAGCTCGGCCTGCTTGTAGACGTCGACGAGCATGAGGCACAGGTCGCCGCCGGAGCCGCCCTGGCCGGCCTTGAGCAGGGACTGGGCGACGCTGGCGAGTATGTCCACGGCGGCGGGCCAGTTGGCGGCCTTGACGTAGCGGGCGGCCACGACGCGGGTCTGCTGCTGGGCCTCGTAGTACTGGCCCTCGGCCGTGCGGGCCTGCAGGCGGGCGATGATCTTTTCGATCTTGTCGGCTTTGGAGGCCATGGCGGAGGATGTGTGTTTGGGGGGGGGGTTCGTGCGTGCTTCTCGTTCGTGGGAAAGCGTCAGGTGTCGGGTCCTGGATCGAGACGAGACAAAAGGGTGTCGGGATACTGTGTGTCGGCGGCAGAGGAGGCGTAGCAGGAGTCGGACGTCTGAATGTTTGGCTTGGAGTTCTTGGAAGCTTGATGACGGTGCCTCTCGACAGGGGGGGGGGCAATTGCAGGAGGGTTGGACTGGGGCGGGGCAGCTTGTGTCGTGGAACCTCGCCGAAAGGGCGACCCCGCAGTCATGAAGCTCCCTCGGTCGCCAGGGCTACAATGGCGAGCGTGGTGTAATGGTAACATCTAAGCTTCCCATGCTTAGGCCCCGGGTTCGATTCCCGGCGCTCGCATGGAACTCGTGAGAACACGGGCAATGCCGCCATGATTTTTGCTTTTATCATTTTTGTAATCTGGGATATGGCAGTCCTTGATATCGCAACGGAGCCTTGACGCTCGGAAGCTCGGGGCGTGGTAGTGTGATTGGGGCCGCTGGGCGAGTCAGTCCTGCTTCTACCGGCCGCCTGTCTGACCAGTGCCGGCGCCGTCAACGGGGTGTCTCACTCTGTTGTCTGGAGGACGGCTACAGGGGAAATAAATGGAAGGTCCGGTTCTGATGGCCGGGGGACATGCTGTGGACGTTCATGCTTCGTGTGACCTCGTAGCATGACTTGCAATCGGTCCTAGGCATGGATGGCATGCACAGGAAGCAGGAGCTGCAGTGTCGTTCGGTAGCACCGAGGGCAAGGCTCAATGATTTTGTGCGACTACAGGTCCTACAAGTCATAGGGATGTACCTAGTATGAAGTGAAGTCGCCTACAGTAAGTACTACGATCGTGTTTGATTTGCCCATGACCAAGGCGCGCGGGGATGTGTGCCAGCAAATGATGCAGACCGTCAAACCCGCCAGCTTGGGAGGAAATCTGCTCGCAACGAACCGGACCACTATCTAACAACAAGGCACGACACGTTGTCAGCGTCTAATAAACTGTCTACCTGCTGCCCAAAGCCATGGTCAACGCATCCAGCACGACCGATCCCTTTCTCACCCTACAGCATTGGCCGGCGTATACAGAGCGCGTGCATTGTAGCCCAGTCTGTCTAGCCTGCTGAGAGAGCAGGGGAACGGCGCTGTGGCATAGTTGGCGAGTTCAGGAGGGTCGACTGGATCGAAGCTATGCGCCCTATCGCTGATGCTACTGTAGAGCTGATCTACGACATGAAACCCTAGGAAGATCGCATCCGTGGATAGGGCTGACGCTGTTGGAGGTGGGAGACGTGAGACTGCCGGCGGAATGGCGTTGACTTTGAGTAACCCAAAGGTGATGCCTCACATGCATGTCATTGTCTAGTCTTCACCATGGCTTCTCACCAGACACACGACAAGGTCACCGGTTTACAGAGCTTCCTCGCAGCCTGTTTCATCAGAACTTTCTTCTATTCTCCTTCATACACAGTACATATGAGACGGGCCCGCCATGCCCGCCCTCATGATTGTGGATAAGCCACGCCGCGAGTGGCTTAAATCACAGTTCACGCGGGGCAGCCGGTGTTCTTCCCACCGACTGCCATGTTGCTCATCCAAGAGCGGTTATTGTACACCTGTCCTCCCAAACCCTGGGCCAGAGGACAGAACGAGGCTCGGGCGGCCCGCGGGAGGAAAAGAACAAAAAACAAAAACAGCAACGACAAGTCACTCCAGATCCGACCGCAGGCCAAGTTCCTCGCTTGGAGTGGGAAAAGGCGGGAGAGGAGTAGGGGGCCAAATGGACCTCTGCGAGGGGCGGGGAGGGCGTATACTAAAACAACAAAATAAGCGAGGAAGATGCGCCCGCGATCAGAGGTCATGGAGAGGATGCGCCGCCGTGCGTATGCTGCTGGCCGTCCGGGGCCATTCGTGTCTTTGGTTGATTAGGAGGGGAGCTTTCGGGTTTTTTTTTCCTGTGGTCGGTCGCACCGAGTGAACCAGAGGCAGGTGATGGCCTCCAGGCTTAGAAGGGAATGTTGGGGGAAGGCTGGGCGCCGAGAACCTCCTGCTGCTCCTGGAGATCCTCACCGGCGGCCTCGACAGAGATGGCGACGCCGATCTTTGCTTGTTGCTGCGGAACAGTCAGTAAGACGCTCGAGGCCACATTAGCTCAGGCATGATGATTATCACGTACCGTGAAGTGGTCGACGTCGGCGGCAAAGGTCATCATGACGGGGGCGGCGATGCGCTTCTCGAGGAGGCAGCTGAGCTTTCCCTTGGAGTCGACCTGCGCACGGAAGGTGGACATGCGGAAGTCATACTTGGCGCCCATGGTGGCGATGCCCTCCTTCTGAATTCCACCCATCATACCGCCTGAGGGGGCGAGAGACAGCGTCAGGTCGCAACCGGCCTGGACCTTCTCCGACAGACGACGCCAGTAGGAGGTGTTGAGGGCACCCTGGGCTTGCAGCTGGGCGGTGGCGACCCAGTCGTCGGACTTGTAGCGCAGCGAGTACGAGGTGGCCATCTCGGGGCCCTGGGTGAGGCCGGCACGCTGCCAGACAGTCTCGAGACCGAGGGCGAGCTTGGGGGTGACGGACTGGAGGTAGCTGCCGATGAAGATGCCGGTGATGCCGCCGTCAAGGGCAGACGGGTTGAGCATCTTCAAGGAGGCGGTGAAGTCGTCGCCGGTGTACTCGTTCTCGAGCTGGACCATATCCTGGCCGGAACCGGGCACAACCTGGAGCTGCGTCTTGGAGACGAGCTTGTCGGACCACCGGTAGTTGAAACGGGTGGAGAGCTGGCCGTCGTTGTCCATGTTGCCCTGGAGGAAAACCTGTGTCGCGGCACGTTAGCGATTGCATGAGCACATCTTTTGGGGGGGTCCGAGTGGGATTTGGCGGACGCACCTTGCTCGTGCCGTAGAGACCGGCGAAGGTGTAAGGGTTGAGGCGCTCGCCCATGGCGAAGGCGTGGGAGACCTGGAAAAGAGGCGAGATGCTGAAGGCCTTGGTCACGTCGGCACGCAGGCCGGTGAACATGTAGTTGTTGAGGAAGACATCGCGCGTCACCTCCTTGCTCAAGCTCTCGACGGTGCCAGGGTTGGACAGGCCGAGCTTCGCTCTCCTGCTGGAAAAGGAGTTGACGGCATCAGAGACGGCATCGGCGACGGGGTTCGTCGTGAGGAAGGTTCGCAGGGAGTCAATGGTGGAAGCCATGGCTGTGGATGTGATGAGGGCCGTGGCCGAGGTAGGTTTGCGGAAAAGGAGAAGGTGAGCGAGAAGCAACAGCAAGCTGGTTGGAGACGGCGACGGAGGGACGCGATGGGAGGAACGCGCACGATGCGAGAAGACGAAAAGGGAGAGGCGCGTCTGAGATGCTAGGAGCTGTGCCCTGTTGCGTCGATGGAACCAGAGATGGTCTTGATGTGCGAGGCTTCACGATCGCGAAGGAGCTTGGTCGGGCGGATGTCGGGAATTGACTTGTCGTGACGTTGCTGGTAAAATAAATTTCTTCAGCCTCTGATAGCACTGGGAGTGTTTCTTGGGGGGAGCACGGGCCTCTGTCTTTCAGTGGTGCACAGCGAGGGGAGGGGGGGGGGGGGGGTGGATGAGACTCCAGACAAGGACAGCTAACAGAGAGAGAGGGCACCAGCTGCTTGGTTGCTGCCACTCGCCTCGCTTCCATTGCCTACGACCCGAATCCTCCCTCGTCTCGCTCCACTATCCTGGTGCACGTGACGTCGGGACGCATACCCGACAAATAGCCAGGGGGTGGAGACGGCATGACCCCACCATCGGACCTAGGTTCGTCTGGGCAATTGGGTGGTGCACAGAGAGACAGAGAGCGAGAGCGAGAGAAAGAGAAAGAGGCATCTGAGGTCCCCTTGACAGCACTGCACTGCATACCACTAGCCCTCCGGACTGACTTTCTTTACGATTCTGTGCTCGGACTGACACGACGTGGCATCCCCCCTAAGAGCTTTCACAAGAAGGCAGGCAATCCTTTGGAGCACTGGGCGAGCAGCGGTGTTTCTGTGGAAACACATCCAGCCAAGTGCTCTCTCGTAGCCGAGAGACCGTTGACATACTCACGATAACCGACGGCGGGTTAAAGCGGGACATCGATATCAAGTTACCAACTCAAAACATAATACCTCAAGCGGTCTGACCAACGCTACGTATACTTGCCTAGATACTTACTTTGGGCAGTCAGGCACACGTCCCTCTCATCGTTTGCTGTCGCCGCTGCACCCAAATAACTGGATTCGCGCCAGCATCTTGAACTTGAGCAACTTCCATTTCTCCGCATTTCACGCCGCAACGCCACTTAACCGCGAGCCTGTCTTGCTTCACTACTCCAAAGTATTGCTGCATGGAATAGAACCTCAATCGCGCAGAGGAAGGGAAGAAGAAGGACCAGATCTCGGCCGACAAGACTGACACAAAGAGGTTGACTGCAAATCACCAAACATGGACACACTTCTGTGAGTGAAGGCCTTTTCCTTGGTACTTCCACAGTCCAACCGCAATCCTTCATATCACCCCGTCATTCCCTCCGTTATTGAGACGATTGCTTGCACCCTTCAAATCAGGAGTCACCTTTAAAAGCCACTCACTTCCAATCCCCCTGCCACTACTGGCAGGTGCAAGTGCCAGGTCATGAGCATGGGCCTGCAATGTCATTCTGCAATTTGGTGAATCACAACCCAACACCCGGTCCTGCAAACCTGGTCATCTTTCCGTAACGTAACGGGCCGGCACAACCTATTCGGACGTCTCATTGTCAATACTGATACACGGATCTGTAATGTTTCTTACAACTCGTTCCCTGAGCGCATCCTAAAAATCCCCTCCCCTGCTCCCTCTCTGCCAACCTTTGCAACCACACCAGATTACCCTTCGTATCAAGCATCGCATTGCCCTGAGCCATGCGTCCCCGCCCCGAACTCTGCTTCGACGGCGCATCGGCTGCTATCGAAGACGACGACGAGCATCAAGATCATCCTAAGGAACCCAACAGTACTGACCCACGAGACAGCACTGCCGAAATTGCGGCCAACGCCCCACGGTATCGCCGCAAGAGCTCGACTTTCATCGACGGCATTCACGATGTACCTGAGGACCAGGATATGGCGCCAGCCCAGCTGTACAGCACCATGTCTGGACGACTCTTCCACTCGGGCCGCATCGCCATCGTGATGGTGGGCCTGCCAGCACGCGGCAAAACGTATGGCCCCCTTATCAGTCATCTGGTCACGTTTGCTAACAGAAGCAGGCATATTTGCGTCTCCCTGGCACGATATCTTGGATGGTGAGAACGTTCTCCTGTCGTAGCAGCTGGTGACTCTTATTGACGTAAGCAGGCTCGGTGTGAAGACTCGTATTTTTCATCTCGGCGACTATCGTCGGGCGACGGTCGGCGACGGTGGTGCTGTCCCTGAAGATTACTTCTTCCCCAACGCCTCACCGGCATCCGTCATCTTGCGGCAGAAGATTCTCAAGAAGTGTCGCGAGGACATCTACGCCTGGCTCAATCACGAGAACGGCCAAGTCGCTATTTACGACGCCGTCAACCCGACCGCTGGAGGTCGTCGCTCGCTGGCCAAGGAGTTTGCCAAGCATGACGTTCAGGTAAGAATGCTCGCCAGCTGTTTCGCGGAGACAGAAGCTCAACCCCAACTCGCAGACCTTGTTTATCGAGTCCTTCGTCGACGACGAATCCATCCTGCGGGACAATGCACGAAACGTCAAGATCTCTTCTCCAGACGTGAGTCCTCATATTCCAAGCCGTGCCCGAAGAAGCATGCTTAATTACCCATTGTAGTTTTCCGGCATGGATCCCGACGACGCCGCCGAGCTCTACCTGAAGCGAATCGACATGAAGATCCCCACCTTTGAGATCATGGAGGAGAAGGAACTGAACTACATCCGAATGATCAACGCCGGTCGCAGGTTCTTCTACAACAATCTCTCATTCAACTACCTGTCTCATCGCATCGTCTTCTACCTCACAAACTTGCACATCAAGTCACGCACCACCTTTTTCGCGCGAGCAGGTACCACAACCGAAGAAGACTCCTACAAAGCCGACGCACCGCTCTCCGAACAGGGCAAATCCTACGCCGCCAAAATGTCCGAGGTCCTCATCAAGCACCGCGAGCAAGAGCGGGCGGCTCTGGTCGAGAAGCAGGGAGCTAACGTCCCCCTGCCACCCCTGACCGTTTGGACGTCGACCCGGCTTCGCACGGTGCAGACCTCAGACTACCTCAGGGATAAGGGCTACAAAGTCCGTCAGCGCTCGCAGATGAGCCAGATCAACCCCGGCGTGTGCGAGAAGATGGCCGAACGAGCCATCCGCACCATCTATCCCGAGGAAGTAGAGAAGCACGAACTGGACCCGTATCATCACCGTTACCCCCGCGCAGAGGCAAGTGTCCCCGGTAACCTGTTCATTCGATACTCCATGACTAACCCATTCTTAGTCCTACCACGACCTCGCCGTTCGCCTCGAGCCAATCATTCTCGAGCTTGAGCGCGAGCAGAATGATCTCCTCATCATCGCTCACGAGTCGGTTCTGCGTGTCCTCTACGCCTACCTCATGCACTGTTCCACAATGGACATTCCCTTCCTCAAGTTCCCTCGCGATGAGATCATCGAGATCATCCCAGCCGCCTACCAGAACGAGGCCAAGCGCATTCATATCCCGGGTATCGACCCCAAGATTACCCCCGGCTCGCCAGAGGACATCCGAATCCCCGTCCCCGGCAGTATCCCCGGCTCCGGCACCGCCAGCGGCGCGCTGAGTCCCATGCCCGGCCTCTCGTCCCCCGCTGAACCTGTGGAAAGGCCGATCGAGAAGGTTGTCAACTTGACCAAGGAGACTGTTGCCGACAAGGTGCATGATGAGGATTAAGCTGTTCAGTGCGGGTCTATATGATGTCACAGCTCGCATGGCAGGAACGAGGCTGGAGGTACAAGGCAAGACAAACATCGTCCTCTCAGATCTGGTCGGGTATGCAATCGGGAAACACGCACGCTACCAATCAACTGCTGGAGTTTTTTTGTTTTAAGATGAACAAGATAGGCTGATGATTTTTATGACAACCAAATGCTTCATTACGTCCAAAGGCCCGCTCTACTCTCCTCGCTGAAGGCATGTTCGTCATGCATGACCGGCCGAATGCCTGTGAATAAAACGCGATAGTGGTATATGTTTCTGCGACGCCCTCCCCAAACTCCAACTGCTTTCTGCTTTCGTTGCCATGAATGGCCAAAAGGTGCCCTCATATTCGTCATCATGCCTCACCTCATCATGGTGGGGAACATGATGCTCTCAGGACCAAACCTGCACGTACGGTACACATGTTGGCTCTACATAAGAATGCACTCTCGCTCAGGCTGTACGCCCTTGACCTTGGATTTGCCGCGCTTGTGTCCGTGCTCGTGCCTGTGCTTCCTGGGCGTGGCCGTCACATCTGATTTGACGTCTGCCCGAGTATCTGGGTAGGAATCTGACTCGAACGACGGACGTGGCAGGTCCACCGATGGCCTGTCCGTCACCTCCGTCGGGCCGGCCTCGTTCGGTACGGGCGGCGCGCTGACAATATGACTGATGGAATTGCCGTCTCGCAATATCTCCTTGCTTGGCCGCATGAAGCCGCCGAGACGGCCCATCGTAAGGCTGATGCGGCCTTCGCCCGCCTGACTAGGGGGGCGACTCCTAGACTTGTTCGAGAACAAGGCAGCCGCGCGTGAGAAGCGCTCACGCGTCGTCTCTTCATTCGGCGTGATTGCCGGAGATGCGGTATCGGGCGTTCTCCCTGGCGTACCAATTACGGACTCAAGCGGATTGATGCTCGTGCGCCGGGAGTCCTTGGAGTGTGGGTCCAAGTCGTCGATGCTGTCACGGCTGGGCCGCTCTATATCTGACGAGAATCGAATGCTCGGGGCCTGCGTCTTTGTCGCTTTCTCGAAGTAATCACCGCTGGAAGACCCGGCAGTTCCCAGATGCCCGCTGTCAGCCAGACTGGGATCTGTCGATGTGGCGATGCTTGCTTTCGAGTCTGCATAGGAAGGTGGTTCCGTTTCAGTTTCGTCCGCAGATACTACTTCCATCATGGGTACAATCTGGTAGAAGAGAAGATACGGCATCTCTTCTTTGATCGATTGTTTGATATCATCAACATACGTGACTCGGCTGTCGATATGGAGGTCGTCAAATTTAGCCCATTGCGCCTCCTCATAATCCGGAGGTGGATCGAGATCGTGTCTTCGGTTATCCGTGAGGAGCTTTGGCGCAACTCGGGAGAATGCAATGTAGTGGCCGCTATTCACAGACTCACCCCTGTGGCAGACCACCGACTGCAGCACGAGCTTGTACTCCGTACTAAACCCATTTGGGTCCTCTTCTAGGTGCTTTTCGTCCGCTAGCATAAAGTGTGGCAGACGCAGACTGTCTGGGATATCGATAAATGTGTTGAGGCGTTGCGGGACCATTCTATCGGAAAGGCCGTAGCGCTTCAAGCAGATGCCGACTACTGGCCTTTGAGAGAATTTGACCGCCACGTCCTGGTCATTCTGAGGCTCGCTATTTCCTGCAGAGTGCCAAGGAATCAGTCGGAAGAACTGCCACGCTGGAATAGTCACAGCCTTGACAACGGTCGAGCTCTTGCGTCGTGCCCTCTCGAGCAGGGAGGAGTTGTCCGTCTCCGCCGGTCGACCTTTTCCGTCCACGAGAACATGCTGAATCACGCTAGTGGAACGGTGTCTAGCGGTAGGTCTCGAAGATCCGGCCGTCTCTCCGCTGATCAAGCCATGGACAGTCTCCGTCGGCCTCCGATCCAGTACTGGAGTAAGTTCAACTGGGGAGGCGACAACTCCTTTCGTAGGCGACTCAGCTTCCTCATTCTGCGTCACGACTCTAATCGTATTCAGTCGAGACGTTGTCGGCCGTCTTGCGTCTCTCTTCTCCTCCTGGTTGCTGTCTCGGAGGACATCGACTTGCGTGTTGAAGTATTCCTCTAAACAATCCTCGAGACGAAGTCCCTTGCCCTCTGGATCTGGGGGTACAGCGAGATTGAGAAGACGTTCGTTGACTATCTTGTGGTCATCATCGTCGTTTTTGCCCTGGTGAAATAGGTCGACTTGTAGTTGTAGCAAGGGTAGCTGCAAGGTTTCCGTGATGAAAGCAAATGCCTCGGATGTGTCCTGCTGCTCCAGCTCTTTGGCGTCTTGCCATCCACACTCAGCGAGGCTGTCTTGTATAAGTTTCGTCTGCCAAAGTCAGCTGAACTGTAGTATTATTCCCGAAGGGTTGAACAAAACCATACCATGTCTGTATAAATCAACTTGCCCGACCGCAACATATTGACCCAGAGTCGCAAAAGCGTGACCAACTTCCGCCGCGGTTCGTCGGTGAATTCATGCTTGAGCATGCCTTCGTAAGCGTCCATCCGTGCGAACATGGAGAAGAGCAAAGAGTCCAGGTAACAGGTCACAGCCTCCCTGTTCTCGGCGCCGCTCATCTGCACATTAGGGTTGTATGGGTAGATCTTGCCAGCACTCGCATCGCTCTGCATCTGTATGAATTCGGCAGCTTTCCTGACATCACCAGCCGCATAATAGCTGTGGAGGACTTGGCGAATGTGGTCGGGAGAAATGCTGTGCTTGGTATATTCGGGGTTGTCTTCGGCAAGGAGCTGCAATACGTCCTCAATCTGATGTGCTGTTAAAGTCTGCTGGGACATGGAGTATGGCAAGACGTCATTCGTACCTTAGCTTTATCTTCGTGGCTGCTGTTTATTTGGCGGGAGGCGTCAGACTTGAAGAGCGAGAAAAAGTTGTCGGCAGAGAGAGGACGGTTCTTAAGAGGTCCGATTAACCAGGGGGTCGAAGCGCTACCCGAGCGATTGAAGAACTCTCACCTTATGGCCCGGCTCTGACGACTTATTCCTGCGATGAGAGCCATGTTTGTCCTTCTCCCGGTCCTTGACACTGAAGAGCCTCTTGGCCTTCATGACGGGAGGTGTTGTGATCGTTCCAACGGGATTGTAGCGATTTGTGAAGCAGGACGGGTCGAGTTGTTTTCGTTGGAAGGTAGACCGCTGTCTCGGGGGGGGATTACGGCTTTTCGAAGCAAACTCTAGAAGAATGGTTGCCTTGCTGGTCGCCAGGAGTCTATTGAGGTCTCGGGCTGTCTTGTCTTGGATGTCGCTGCGGCGCGCTTTGGCGGGGTTGATGGGGGAGTTTAGGGATGTGACGTGGGACCAGCAGTTGTTGGGGGGCAGGCATGGTGCGATACCAGGGTGCAAGTGTAGGGGTCGAAAGAAGGGGCAGGGGCCAGCCTTTAGTGGCAGGGGTGCACAAGCAACGGCTAAAGCAGGCACGCCACGGCGAATCCTTCCCTGGATTTGCGATCAACGGGATCCGCAACGAGCGCTGAACGAATGGCCGCACCTGTTATCAGAGGAGGGGTACTTCGTCCCATGCGCACATAGCAGACCATTTCTACGTACGGTATCCTGGGACATGGGCAGAACATGCTCATTGGTAATAATCATGATGCTGCCGCTACGCTATCGACTGTTTGGGTGATCCTGAAGAGCATGATTGGGGATCGGCGTGATCTTCGACGACCAGGGCGGGAGCGACTGTGATAGCCCCTGCCTCACCTGATGGACCTGGACCAAATGGTCCAGGCGAACATGCGACAACGCCTGTTGACATCCCAGCCGGTTCAATTCTCGCGGTGAAGCCTACAAGTGGAGAGAGCATGACACTGCTGGCGAAGACACTGGCAGGGAACGCGGATAATGTGACAGCCCTCGGGTTCGGGTTCGGGGGTGTTTTTCGGGGCGTGACGGCTCTGGAGCACCCGTCCCCATCATGGCTCAACGTTCTCCGTAAGAACCTTCCAGCGTATTGACTAAAAAGTTTCGGTAGCGCGAAAACGTCTCTATGCAGCTGCCTACGATGTACGCGCCAGCTGATCTGGATGACAGGTCACACAGTACCTACTGTTATGTAGAAGCCTGAAAACTGGGCGAGGAAGGGGGCAAAAGACTTGACAACAACCAGGCTCACGCATTTGCTCCCTCTCCACTCTGATCCAGGTCCCTTTGGAACATCTGATAGGGCCCCTGTCGCTCGTTCTGGACAAACTTAAGCCAAGACAGAGAGGCCTTGGACCCTTCAACAGTCGACTCAGAGTTGCGTTGAGTGCAAGGTTTCCGGCCGAGTTTCAACCTGTCTGCCTCACACAGAATGCACTTCAGCCGCAGTATCGGGCCGCGAAGGAAGCCTTGGATGTCAAGAATAGCACATCACATAATTTCTACCTGTGCACGAGTGAAAGAGGGGGAATCCTTCACTGGCCAGTTGGATGAAATCTTGTCAACGCACCTCCCGTGGACGCCGAGTGACTAGACATTTCTCTGTCAGCGTAGGAAGAAGGTCAACGTTCCTTGATTCCATATGCACGCTAGACCACCCAGATCTTCTCAGCCGATCGTCAGAAGTTCTGTATTCGGTCTGGCCGACAGGTCACACATCTCCTACGCCGGGCGCTGACAGACAGGAGCCTACAAGAACAGCTACGTAATTGCGCAGCAGCCATTCGCGCCGTCATCCCAGGGATCATTATTCCGTTTGGGGGGTGTGGACTGATGGCCCCGCTATTTGGTGCGGACCAATATTAGGTAAGGCGCTTGGATAGGTTGCTGGGTCTGATTATCTAATGCTCCGTTGGAATCAGCCACAGGAAATGAACACTACGCCACATGGGTGTGGCTTGAGATCCATGTCGTGAATTCAGGTCCATTGAATTTTCCAGCGTCGCGACACCCATGATCGTGACAACCACCAACACTTCGTGCGATTGACCATGGCTGCCACAATGCGAGATGGATCACGGCT